CATGTGCTGAGTCCTGTGGATCCTCCTAATGGATCATTGAACCTGAGGGTGGTCTTGGGGACCCTGACATACCAGCTCCTCCACTATATCAGTTGACAGCTCCATCTCAGTGCTCCTCTTCACTCCCCACAAGCACCCTCAGATTACACAATGCTCAGCTGAAACTTAGCTAAGGAGAATTCACCCACTATATTATGAAAACTGAACAGGTTTTATTATTGCAGTCAAGTAAGAAAAGAGCAATACATTTTATTTTGAATATTTATTTAGGTGTTTTTTGTTTTTTTTTTTTTACTCCTTGATCTGATTTTTCCTTCCTTTGGTGTCTGAGACAGGACCAAGTTGCAAGGGTACATTTTTTTTAATTTGCAAAGTTTAAGTATGTTTATTTGCAGATGTAAAAACATTTCTGGCTGTCCTTCTGTTCCTGAGTGCATCAAGCTTGTTCTTGCCTGAAGTTTTCATACCAGCAGTTCTTTCTGAGATGCTTTTCCCATAGCTGGCTCTGTCTTTTCAATGAACTCTCAAATTAACTGCCACCTCCTCAGAGAAGTCTTCCCTGACCACCCAACCTAAGTGACCCCCAGTCCACCCACAGATCGCCTTGCTTTGGCTTCACCATAGCACTTACTTCCACCTTCTATTCTATTCACGCTTTATTTCGTTGTTGTTGTTGTTGCTTAGTGAAAGCGTCCTCCCTCAAGAATGTAATTTCCACTTGAAAAAGTATTTTGTTTGATTTGATCAGCACTCTATTCTCAGTGCTAAAACAATGCCTGGAAGAAAAACTAGGCATTCAACAGATATTTTTGAATCAATGAATAGTTAAATCAGTTGACTAAATAAGTGACATTTTGGAAATTGCATTTAACAGTTTTCAGGAGACGGGCCCAGTTTGCTTTTTTGCTTTTTTCTGTTGCCACGTTCAGTGTATTCCCCATCAGGTTCTTTTTTTCACCGATGGGAAGACACTTTTTTTGTTCCACCAGGCCCCCAAGGCAGCCAGAGAGGCAGATAGAGAAGCAACACCGTCAATCAGTGTCAGGTGTGCACTGTTCTCTTGACTCGAAAGGGCCAGCGCTGTCATTTAAACATCATCCAATCTCTCTGCATCTTACAAAGTTTAACTTCTACAAAAGGCAAGGACGCAATTGCTATGGATTGTACCACGTGTATCAGCAGGGTAGATGTCATTAAGATTCATTTCCTTGCTTTTCCTGTTCAATTACTTCTAAGAAAGGCAAGTGGATTTCTCTTGTCTTCTTCAGTTTAGATTTATTGAATGTCTGAATCTCAGCCATATCTTGTTTGTCAGATATTTTGGCAGATTAAGCAGTAATGGGGTGCACAAAAGAAAGTCAGATTTCCACGGTAGCTACTCTACCCCTTTTCTCTCATCCTCATCTCCCATTCCAGCCTCTTCTGATATTGCACTACGCTTATTTTCGCTGGACCCTAATGATTTCCTCCTGTCCCTCCCTAACTGCAGGTCCAGAGCCAGGTTCAGCCTTCTGCAATTCTCTCGCAATGATACTCGGAAGCTCCTTTTCTACCCGAGTTTATACTTCGATTTCTGCAGCTCTCAACTTTACCTAAGGCCTTTATCTCCAGTGGCTCAGGGACATTTGTACTTGGAGGTTTAACCTTTAATGCAATATGTCCAATGCCTAATCTATCACCTTCTCCCCAAAGCAGAAACTCCTTTCATTTTCCTGCTTCTGCTAATATATACGTATATATTGTAAGAATAACAAATCTGAAATTATTTTGCCTCCACTATTAGGATACCCTTCACATTCAGTTAACATGAAACCATATTATTAGCTGTCTCCTCTTTACAAGCATAGACTTACAGCACAACAGCCCAGGATTACTACACAACCTCCCAATTCAGGGGCTCTCAAAACGCCGTCCAGCCACCATTGCAGCAGAATTTGAATAGCTTGCTAAAATACAGATTCCCAGACACCAACTGAACCCCAACCGGCAGAATTAGAATTTCTGAGTGTGGGACTTAGACTTTTGCATTTTAACAAGTTCCCCGACATAATTCTTAAATCAGTTTTAGAACCCTTGGAATTCTCTCTCTTACCTCCTATCTTTGCAGATCCAAATTTCTCTGCATCAGTTTACACATAGTTTACATCGGGGCACACCTCTGTAAGGCCTCTGACTTTATATCTAATACATCTGCATACATTTAAGAATGTAAAATGGACCTTAGGGATGAGACCTCCCCCAATTAATAGAAGAGGAAACTAGGATCCAGAGAAATTTTCACCTATGGAGGTCACAGAGTAGGTAAAGTGGCAAAGGTTGGATTAGATCTCAAGTCTTGTGATTTCCAAGCCATGCAGAAAAGAGTTAACATAGCAGTCCTGACTGCTGTCCTTTGAAAGGACTGCTTGTAAGGTTGGCCCTTGGGTGGAATCTAGGAACTTCAACTTGGGAAGGGTTTCCACCACTCCCAGGACTGATAAGAGTAGCTCAGTATGCCTAAAATGTTTTTACAAACAATATGATCTAAAATTAACACCCACTTTCCTTCCAGGAGTCTGGAATTTGGGTACATATCAAACAGAGGATGCTGTGTGATCATCCCCCAATGGAAAGCCTGGGCACTGAATCTTTAAGGAACGTCCCTGGTGGACAACATTTTACACATTTTGTCACAACTCATTACTAAGGGAATTAAGTGCATTCTGAGGACTCTACTGGGAGAGGACTCTTGGAAACTTGCACCTAGTTTCCTTCAGATTTCTCCTCATGTGCCTTTTCCCTTTGTTGATTGTGCTTAGTATACTTTCACTGTAATAAATCATAGCCATGAGTATGACTAAATGCTGAGTCCTGTGAACCCTCATGGTGAACCATCAAACATGGGGGTGGTCGTAGGGACCTTGTGACACACAAGCCAGTGCTTCCCATAACTTATTTCACTACTCCTCTCATAGGCTTATAGAAGAGACAGTAGGGGTAAGTCAAAACAGTATGGCCTTAAAAAAACGGCATGATTTAAATGCTGACTTAGCTACTAAGCTCTATTACTTCTCTGAGTCATGGATTCGTCATTTATAAAATTGGGCCAATAATACTTACCTTGTAAGAATTTTACAAAGATTTAGAGATAATAGTATAAGAGGTCCATAGTATACACCCTTTAAGGAGGAGCTATTATTTTCCTTTGAGTCTTTTCGATAAGACGGAATGATCAGAAGAAATTCTGTGAATCCAGTTTTACATATCCATATATCTGTATAGCAGTGGAACTAATTATATGCACTAAAAGGTCCCAATCATGCTGGAACTTGTGAGCAGATTGTTTTTTCCCAGGATCTGTGTAGAGCTCCTCTAACTAAGTACTTGCAGTGGGAATTGTTGTGTGGAGAGCAAGCACAGAAAAGAACATGTTTCTACTCATCCTCAGCTTTCAACCCATGCTTAGCTATTTGTCTCTTGCTTTTTGGGTCGCCCACTCCATTGATTTCTGGGCTCTGACCTCTTTCTGGCTGCCAACCTGCACTCCTTAGCTCTTTATTGGATGCTCAGCTATTCCTCTTCCAACCATTAGTTCACACGTAACTCATTCATCATCATTCACTTGATCCTATATAGAGGATCCCCATGGAAATTTCTTTTCTGGTTGTGTCCCTGGCTTTGTCCCTTAACCAACTTGTAATATTTGCTCTTGAATAAAATATATTTCACTTTTGTGGAAATGGAATTATTAGACAAATATAATTCCAGTCAGTGGCAGCATATTTGGAAGAAAAACTCATTTATGTTTATTTATTCTTTTTGTCCCTTGCATCCAGAAGATGAAAACAACACTTCTTAATCCTAACATTGTCCCATCTGAAATAACATAACTAAAAGGTTTAAAGATGAGTTGTTTCAAATATCTTCAGCAATTCAAGTGAGGTGGACCGTTTAGTATATACTAGGGTAGCCGCCATGAAAAGCAAACAGTGCCTGCAAGGAGTTACTTTATGGCACACCATTTTCAGAAAATAATCATTAGTCTTTGATATCAAGGGCAAAATATGTAAACAAAGACATTTGCTCTGGATTTCTCAATCAGACATGATATAATGGTGAGAGCACTGCATGGGGAGTCAGGGGGCCTTTGTTTCAGCCTCTGTAGTATAGTGGTTAACAGCCTTTTCCCACCTCCACTTTCATCTAGGTGGGGGTGAGGGGTGAGCTACTCGTACTTGCCAATAGAATGTGAGTGAAAGTGACTGCTGCTTTCTTGCTAAGGTGGCTTTGAAGCAAGTATCCTGTCTCCATGCTCTCTTCCCCTAGCTCCTGGCTGGATGTTGACACCCAGGATAACCTTGGAGGCCACATGTTGAGGATGGTAGAGCCACTCTCATCTAGAGTCCCTGCATGGCCACATAAATAATCAGCCCTCCCATCTTCTCAATCAGGAACATTTGCACTATGTTAAGCCATTGACATTTTGAGATTTTTGTGTTATAGTAGCTAGTGTGTCCCTAATTAAGTTGTCTCACTTCTTTATGCCAATCTGTTTGGGTTGTTATAAGGATTAAATGAGTTAGAACAATGCCTGACACATAATAAACACTCAATAACTGTTAGCTATTAATATCACTACCTGCTCTGATGCTAACTGCTTATGGGTCATGGAACAATGTCAATTTCCCTGGACCTCCATTTCTTCAAGGGTAGAACATAATAGTCAGGGTTGATGACTAAATTTCCCGAAGGTTGGAATTTTATAATCAGAAACCTCTTCAAATTGCTAAGAAAAAAATTTATCTTAACCCGTGGAAAGTGGCCAGAGGATGAAGGACATCAGGGAAAGTGGTCAGAGGATGAGGGACATTCAGAACATCAGGGAAAGAGGGAAAGAAGGAAAACAGAGAACAGTCCAAAGGATGCTGAGAGGGAAAACCATTATTTAAAGAGAAGCATATTTTCTTTTCGAAATTTGTCCATCAATTCTGAAATAAGCTTCAAAGAGAAGATTTACAAACCGGGCTGTGTCCGTGAGACTTTCATTCACACCCAAATGAATGTCTTGTGTGGTCAGAAAACAGGGGTGTCCTCCCAGAAGTGCAAAACCTACAGTAAAAGAGAGAGAAAAAAAGGCATTTTGAAAAAAAGAATTAACTTAGCAAACAAAATGATGAGGAATTGGCACTATCTCAACTGAAAAGTGAAAATCTTTCACTCTCACCAGCCTCTCTGATAGGAAATTCTCAGGGAGAGCAAACTGAGGAACCAGGAGAAGCAGGTGAAATTTTCTGTACCAGCACTTAACTCTCCTTCAGATGTGTGCCCACCTCTCCACCCTCTTGTTCAGAACCAGGCGATATGGGGCATTGTTCTCTTTTAAGGCTATTCCTCCTTTTTATTCTTTAAAATACATAATGATGTCAACCAGGAAAATGGGAAAATAAACTGTAGTATTGCATATCATGGATTACAATGGAATACTACTCAGTAATAAAAATGAACTACTAATATACGCAACATGGATGAATCTCACAAACATTAAATTGAATAAAAGAAGCTAGACACAAAAGAGTAGATAATGTATAATTCCGTTTACGTGAAACTCTAGAATGGGCCAAACTAACATAGAGTGGCAGAAATTAAAACTGTAGTTGCTTCTGGGGAGGGTGACTGGCTGGGAAGGAGCACTGATGAACTTTCTGGGGTAAGAGGAATGTTTTATACCTTCATAGAGTTTGTAGGTTACATACCCATATACATGGGAATATGTTTTCTTCAACACTTTAGAACTGTAAAGTTAAGAGCTGTGCATTTTCCTATGTATAAATTATACCTTGATTTTTAAAAAATTAAAAATAAAGTGAGCATTGAGATGGCAGTTTCAGGTCACTAAAAGTCAGCATGATCAAAGGGCCATTCAACTGTTCTATTTATCCTTCATCCAAGACAAGGCTAAGATCACTCACACATTACCCTCACCACTCTTCAATCCTCCATGGAATGTGAGATTACTGCAGACATTCCTTTGGTCTGAGGAGGATGACGCAGAGAGGGGTCTACCCCAAACTCTGTGGGCACAAGCAGGGCCCTTTTATCACGTACCCTGGGCAAAATTATGTGAAATGGTGACATCCAATTAGAACTTTACTATTTTGTTGGGGGGAGGGTATAGCTCAGTGGTAGAGTGCGTGCTTAGCACACATGAGGTCCTAGGTTCAATCCCCAGTACCTCCATCAAAAAATAAACAAACAAACAAACCTAATTACCTCCCCCTGCCCCCCCAAAAGAACTTTACTATCTTATTTGAGACAGATTCAATAGGCAGGCTTTCTTAGATACACATGTAAAAAGCAAATAAGTATAATTATAAGATAGAGACTTGTCTGAGGAATCTTGCAAACATTACTTTTTTCCTCCTTGTTGTAATATACCTAACTGATCTTTTGGGAAATATGCAACAGTCACACTTTTCTAATCGCACCTGTTTCCCATGAGAAAGGAGGAAATTATTAATCGCATGGTGAATTGGGGGATGAGGAATCTTAGACCCATGAAGGAGAATTTGGCCCAAAGTTTCATGAAATAACCCACTGAAGGCTTAACACAATTTGAATAATGCAATTTGAATACAGACAGGTATTAAATGAGATCAACAAATCATTTTTGTTAAGTGTGAAAATGATATTGTAGCTATACAGGAAAATATTCTTATTTATTTGAAATATGCACACTGATGTATTGGGGATAAAATGTCATTATAGCCTTCATTTACTTTAAAATATTTCACTGACAAAAATGAATAGACAAGTCAAAAAAGGTGACATATTAACAGTTGTTAGATTGATGTAAGGGGTACTGGTGTGTGTTCATTATGCTCATCTCCCTATTTTCTGTTCATTTGAAAACTTTCTTAAGCAAAAGTAAAACAAAAATATCCACAAGGAAGCAATTGTTCTCATTTCTGTTACTACATTAAAAAATAATTGTATTCTACCTATTTAACACTTAAAAGTATTCCCTTAAATATGCCCAGACCAAATGGTTTTTAGCTAGAGGCCACTATGTTCCGACTCTAGAATGACTATAGTCACAGAGCCCTAGCAGGTGGTGGCACTTCATAAAGTTTCTTCTGTTAAATCCTTCACTCAGACAAAGAGCATATTAGATAGTATTATAATAATTTTATGAGAAAACAAAATTATGGTTACCAGAGGGGAAGGGGGCGGGTAGGGGGATAATTGGGAGTTTGGGATTAGCAGACTATATACAGAACTACTATATACAGAATAGATAAACAGGGTCCTACTGTGTAGCACAGGGAACTATATTCAATACCTTGTAATAGCCTATAATGAAAAAGAATATATCTCTAAACATATATATAACTGAATCACTATGCTGTACACCAGAAATTAACACAACACTGTAAACTGACTATACTTCAATACAAATTTTTTAATTAAAATTTAAAAAAAGAATTTTATAGACAGGAGTTTTGAGAGTCAAAGAGTCTAAAAACTTGTTCAAGATTGTTTTTAAGAACCTAGAGCTTTACCAAAGGGGAGCCGGCCCCTGAGCCAACTTCCATTGGGATCTACAGAGACAGGATGACATAGTGGAACTGGACTCAGTCTTCATCTGGAAAATCAGTCAGTTTGCCTAGAGCCCTAAGATCCCTTGCAGATCTAAGGTGCTACATGACAGGTAGAGTCAGAGAACATGAAACACACCAAAAGTCCTACTTGCTATGGATCCTGTAATAAAGTATCTGACTCAATTTATGATGTTTGATTGCTACCAGCTTCCAAGCCCATCGTCACTCTCCCTTCTCCTTCTGCCCTATATCTGGGCAAGCTGATAAGAAGGTGCAGATGCTTCCTCCTTTGGCACTAGCAGGAGGTTCAAACTACACAAGTCCTTGCCTGTACATGGGAATCCTCACCCCAGCCCACCCCCAGCCCCAAGCACAATAAAAGCCCAAGCTAATACCATTTCCTTGCTCTCTAATGCCACTTTTGGACCAACTTTGGAGCCAGCCCACCCTCCCCAGAAAGCCACATTATGTGAGTAATAAACCTTTTCATACCCTCTTGGTGCATGTGTGGTATCCTCACTGTCAACAATCAAACTAAATTTGCGTGGGAGGCACATCTTGTGTCTGTTGAGTGACCGCAACAGGTCTCAGCCTCACAGCATGGTTCTGAAATGTACTCATTCATTCTCAAGTATGTGTACATTGAATATGTTATATGTTACATATTGACAAATACTATATGAAAAATAGAGCAGGGATGGGAGATAGGGACTGTATGGAATTGGAGCTGTCATTTTACCATGATCAAGGAAGCCACAGTGAAACATATCAGACAGTGGAAAGACCATATCCTGAGGTCCTGAGGAAGGGTCAGGACTGGTGGGTTCAAGGCACAAGAAATTTGGCTTGGAAGGTAGAGTGTGTGAGGAGGAGAGTACTAGGCGGTGAGGCTGCAGAAGGACGGTGGGGAGGAAGCAACAACTTTAACTTTTGTTGGAGTAAGATGGGAAGCCATGGTAGGATTGGAGCAGAGGATGACACGATTAGACTTATGTTTTAATAGAACATCCATAGTGGGGGAAGGCAGAAGCAGGGAGACCAGTCCGAAGACCATTGCAAAAATCTGGCTGAGAGTTGAGAGCTTGGACCAGCATGGTAGCAGCTGAAGCAATGAGAAAATGATTGAATTCTTGATATATGTTGAAAGTAGAGCCAGCACTCAGTTGATAACCTTACTTCCTACCTCAATGAAAAAAATGGTAACAGAGACCTTCCAGATTCCATCACCCCATTTTCTCACCTGCCAGCATTCTACTTCCCTTCCTGTTAAGCATAGATGGACTTGCCATGCCCCATGTGTGCACTGGAAGCCATGCCCCCATTCCTACTCATGGATGTTACTCTAACAATTCTTCCCTTTCTGCCTTTCATTATCTGCATCTTGAATAGGCTCTTCTCATTTTTTCATTCATTAATAAAACATGGAAATGTTAGCTATCTTGATTGTGGTGGTGGTTTCATCTATCATCATTGTGGTGTATACATCTATCAAAATTCATCAAAGTGTACATCTGAAATATGTGTAGTTAACTGTACAGGAATCATACCACAATAAAGGTGTTAAAAATAAAAAATAAATAAAACAACAAATGCAAACTTTCTCTTATGCCTATTTCCCCTGCCAGGTATCCATTTAAGTCTTTGCTTTCCTTGCAGCAAAACTCTTGTTTTTAGTTTCTCTCTCCAGTTCTTGTCTCATTTCCCTTAAATCTATTTCTATAAGGCTTTGGCCCCCCCAACACTGCACCAAAACTCCACTCACCAAGTTTACCAATGACCTTCACATTGCTACATCCAGTGGCCATTTCAGTTCTTATTTTTCTTGACTTTGCAGCATTTAACAAAGTTGTTCACCACTTCTCCCGATAAGCTCTCTTCACACACCATCCTGGACATCACTACTCCTTGCTCTTACATCTACCTTGGTAGTTGCTCCTTTTCAATCTCTATTGCTGGTTCCTTTATATTCCTTGACCTTTTAATGTTGATGTGCCCCACGGCTAGTCCTTGGTCCTCTTCCCTCCATCTGCACTCATTTCCTTTATAATTGTATCTGGTCCCATGGCCTTAAGTACCATCTGTATGCTGATGACTCTCAAGTATCTCTAGACCAAATCTCACTCCAGTACTCCAAACTAATATCCAAGTGCCTTTTCAACATCTTCACTTGTGTATCTAATAGAAAGATCAAACTCAGTCCTTCCAAAACTCATCCTGCCCAACCTGCTCTGTCCCGCTCCATCCTGCTCACAGTTGCTTAGACAGAAACCTTGAAGTCATCCTTGACGCCTCTCTTTTACCTGATACATCAGGGATCTTGTTGACTCTCCCTTCAATTCATACCCCGCATCTGACCCTCTTGCCCCTTCCTCTGCTACCACCCTGGCCCCAGGCTTTATGTATAGCGGCGACCTTCTGACAGCTTTTACTGCTTCTACCTTGTCTCTGCCCCCAGCCCCCGCATTAGTCTCAACAGAGCAGAGAGACCCATTTACAATGCGAGTTACAAAAATAATTTAAAAATAAAATAGTAATTGCAATAATAAATAAATAAATAGATAGATAAATAAATAAATAAATAGATAGATAGATAAATTAATTAATTAATAAATACATGCAAGTTAGATCATCTCCCTCTAGTGTTCAAAACTCTCCAAAGACGCCTCCATTTTATGCAGAGTAAAAGGTGAAATTCAAATAACAGAGTACATGTTTTTCCCTCAGTTCCAGGCAGTCTTCTCCTTGCTGAGAGCACTTATCACCTTCCAACATACTATATCATCCACTTATTTATTATGTCTATTGTTTATTGTCTGTGCCAGCTAGAATGTCAGCTCCATGAAGGCAGGGATTTTTCTCTGTTTTGATCGCTGATACATCATTCTCAGGGACCTAGAATAAATACTGGTACATAGGAAGTAGTCAGCAAATACTTGTTGAACAAATGTCGGAAGGATTTTGACTCTAGAGAGAGGACCCATTCTTTTCGTTTGCGAACATCTCCTAATTTTGTTAATGGAATTTTCTATTCTGTGTAAAGTGAGCTAATGGAATTTAGTGATGATTATAATCACTCATCACTCTTGAGTACTTAATCTGTTTCTAAGCAGGGAAAATCACCCAAACAAATATGACTACTACACAGTCATCAAGGAAGTATTCATCGTGTACCTACTATGTGCCTAGCACAGGGGTGAATGCCATTGAGGGTTTGGGGACTGTGGAGAAAGGTTTCAAACAAAGTTTAAGACCTCCTGGCAGGTCTGCTCCAAGTCATAGTCTTACTTTGACTAGAAGTCATTCTGGTAACAACCCAGGATTAGTTTGTTGCCTTTTCATTTCTCTCTTTGTGCTGTAAAGATTCTCAACCAGCCTGAACTTACAAGGTAGGAGTAGGAAGAGGGGCTACAGAAAGTGTCCAGAAGTAGGAGTCAAAGCCTTCAACAGTTCTTGAAGGAGATTAAATGGAAGGACTTTACCTCCAAGAAGGGATTGCCTCTGCAGTTTTGGTCACTGATCAAAAAGAAGTCTCAGACCCTAGTCCAAAACACAGGTCAAGCATTCACCAGTTTATCAGACCTGGATGGCAATAAATGTTTCTGGAAGGTGTCAGAGATTCTGAGAAGTCACCGGGAGCTGCCATTGCTGAGGAGAGGAGGGCAGAGGAACAAGTTTCTACTCTCTCTTCACTCTTCATCCACAGGAGTTTGTTTTTATCGATTTCATTTGTTTATGCGTACACATCAGATCTTTTTGAACAAAGGATTTCATCTGTTAATATCTCAACTTCTGTCTGGGAAAATATAGTATACCTTATTTTGCTCTTTCTTTTCCTCACAGATCCTTGCAAACTTTAGAAGAAGGGGTATAGATAGAATGCATGCGCTGGAAGTATCAGAGCTCTGAGGGCTCTTGCTGGTAGAACTAAGGCAGCTATTAACCTCTCTGTGCTGCACTTTCATACCTGTGGAATAGTATCGCGGTTTTTATATTGATGCCTTTGTTAAGATGATGCATTCTAAACAGTTTGCCAAGCACCCACTTCTATTTCACCTTGAAAGTCAAATACCAATGTTAAACAATGAAAAGAACCATCTCTTAGATTGCTCTGTGCATTTTTCTATCAGCTACTGCACTTACCGAGATTAGTAAAAATGTATTCCTCTATCTGCTCAATTAATTTGCAATAAAAGAATATAATCATCAGTAGACACACAGGAGAATTGTGCGGTTTGCCAGGCAGGCATGCACAAAGAGTGCGGGAGGAATGAATGAGCTACAACTACACACAGCGACATCGATACAGCTCACAAACTTAATGCTGAGCGAAAGAAGCCAGACACAAAAGAGCATATGCTGAATGATTCCATTTCTATAAAGTTCGAAAACAGGCAAAAAGAATCTATGAGGTTAGAAGCCAGGATAATGGTTACCCTTGGGTGGGGGTAGTAGCGACTGGAAAGAGGTACAAGGGAGGGCTTCTGGGTGCTGTTAATATCCTGTTTCTCTATTTAGTATTAGTTACAAGCATGTATTCACTGGAATAATTCATTGAACTGTATACTTAATGATTTGTGCACTTTTCTGTAGGTATCTTACACTTAAATAAAAATATTACATGAGCAATTAATATGGCTTTATTTGGATGGAGAATTTTATTTTGTCCCTTGAGATAAGTAGACATGCTGCTGTATCTTTGCAACTCAGGCTTGGGATGGAATCCTCACTGTCCTTTGAAAAATCCCAAGGTGGCACAAATCAGGGGTAGTGATAGACAGAATCACATCCTAGTTTCATTCTAAATACCAAGGTAACAGGTTTTGATGAAAAATTGTGCCAATGGGCAACTATTAAGATGCACATGTACACAATAAAAATGTTCTGCCCTGTTTTGGGTTGAGCTCTACCATTTCTGTAAGCATTTAAATTGGCTGCTTACTCTGACTAATTCTCCTACTGTTGAGTTTGGCAGGATGCCACATGCAATTAGACCCATGGGTATTTATTGAGGATAATGATGAATACTCTGTGAACCATAACTTTTATGGTCATATGTTCCTTTTTCTCGTGTATTTGTTGTTGTCGTTTGTAATTTTGTGCAGATTTCATAGTGTGTCTTTATGGAAAACCGTCATTTAACAAAATGCTTAATGCCACCTGTAGAAACAATATTACCGGAGTAAAACATGTCCATGTGCGAATTAAATTAGATACTTTAAAAATACATTTAACAATGGCTTCCAATCCTGGGTCTGCCATTTATTAGCTAGCTATATGTCTGTGAGCCACTTGCTGAACCTATTTCAGCCTATTTTCCTCAGTGGTCTCACCCTCGTAGAGGGGAAGATTGGCATGAGGATTAAGTGAGATAATCTATGTAATTAATGTAGAGCACTTGGTACAGGGTCTGCACCCAAAAGCTTATTAAATCTTCACTCTTGGTTTTATTAGTAGCTTAACTACCACATTATATGTGAATGGTAAAGCTGATAACAGGGATATTTGAAATAAAAAATAACATTCAAAGAAAAGTGGTAGACAATAGCAACAACTAAGAAAAAATAATTTGAAAAAAACTTAAAATTGAGCAATTTCTACGTATTAATCAATCCTTTTGATGACTTCAAAAAAGAACACCTCTCTAAAGTAATAATGATTTAAAAATGATAACCAGTGCCAAAAGGAGCAGAATCTGGAAACTGGCTGGTTTATACAGTATTCATTTTTCCTTTACTAAACGTCAGGTGTCAGTGTGACCTTTCAAAGGACCCAGCTTTAAAGAGCAAAATGTTCTCATTGGTCTTCTTCCTAGGACTTTAAAGATTAGGTGACACCTTATATGTTTTCTTTCTTCCTCCTTCCTTCTCTCAAGGGGCAAGGGGAGTGCATTAGTAAGAACACTAAACTTGAGATCTGAATCCTGGTGCTATTTGTATTAATTGCATGAATTTAGCAAGACAGTTAATCCCTCTGAACTACACTGTGTTATGTATTTGAGGTACCGCATTACTGATAGTTACAAGGCAATAATTGCATGAAGTAGTTGCTTGCTTCTGAGCCCTAGAAAGCTCTGGTGCTTGTAAGTAGGATAAGATATACAAAGAATCAACCAATGTGTTTTTGTTCATGGTACCTCCTCCTCGATCCTATCCATTTGCCCATTTGGGCAGTCATATTATTGATTCAGCAGAGGTCTGATGGAGCAAAACTGCCGAGAGAAAGAGGAGGTGATGTGTAACAGACCTTTTGAAACTCATTACAGAGATAATAGTTTGAGAAAAAATTGCATTTCAATAGCCTAGGATTTCAGGATCAAACAAGAGACTTGAAAGAATACGTGAGTAGTCAGAACCAGTTTTTCCTCCTGCTTTATCACCTGGCCTCCAATACTGGGAACTGGGAGGGGAAGAAGAGTGAGAGAGAAGAAGGAACAGAAATAGAAACTGATGGATCTTTGACACTGTATCCTGCTGTCTGTCCCCCAGGCCAAGTACTGAAGTGTGGGGAGCATGGAGCAAGATGGAAATTTCAGATGAGTTTGGGGGACTCCAGAGCTGAGAATATCTGTGTCTTCTTTTAAGACAGAATTCGAGGAGAGAGCAAATGTTATAGAACTCCCTGGCACCCAGAAAGGGGAAGGAGCGATAGAGTAGAGAGAGCCTTGCAGTACCTCTGTGCCAACTGCCGCATGCAGAGCTGCCAAGAAGTTGACAGAACCAAACCAGGAGGTATCTCAGGTCTTGTGATCAGAGTGAAGCAGACTCCACAGTGAATGGGAGCCAGTCAAGGTCCAAAAGAGATACAGAAGTCCCAGCAGATTTCAGTATAGACATTTGATGATGGTGTCCTGATTACTAATGACCAGATCCCCATAGCCTGAGATGCCTTGACATTAAGATAACTCTCCAAGGCTTAACCACGACGGTGGGGAGAGGGGAAAGAGACTCTAAATTGACAAAGCAAACACTGAAACGAATGAGGATTACCTAACATTGCAGAGATTGTTTCCACCATCCAGCAAAGTTGGTACAAACAAGAAAAATCTCTTTACATATTAGAAACATGCACATTTCTTGCTCACATGATTTGGAGGTCTATGAATTTAAGCCCACTGACATCTTGTAGTGAACACGAAGAACTGTTTGGGACTTTTACGCAAGTCCTCGTGGAATTCCTACAGATGAAGCTAATCTTGCTGCCTGCAGCTTCTGTGAGAATTGGAAAGACCTTTCAGAGGCTTGCCACTACTCCCAGTGCCAGTGTTTTCCCTTTGTTCTTGCTAAAGAGACAGATGCCCCCGGGGCTACTTCTCCCAGGTCCTCACCCTCTGGCCCCCTCGTCAACACAAGTGCCAGTTTGTCTGTGGACTCACCTGTTTCTGTGGACAATCTTGTTCGAGTACTTCTTTTTTCAAAAATCATGCCTAAGGACTTCCCTTGCAATAAAGGCAAATACTGAAAATCAAGGACAAGAATACAATGAAAATGAAAAAGACATTTTATATCCCATATCAAGGATTATGTTTCAAAGCTTATTCTTTACATTATCAGAAAATGTCGAATTATTAACACTGCTCCCAAGTAAGCCTTCAAATGTTATTTAAAAGGTGAATTTGAAGTGGGTTTTTTTTTCATGTTCTATACAAATGGGGGAAGGGAACAGGAACTCCCATAGCTTATCGATGTGTAATGAGAAAGTAGGATTAGTTGCTCTGGGTTCAACCTGAACATTTGTCCCAAAGGATATTCACATTTCATACCAGAAGCATCTTCTTACTTAAATTCGTGGCAACCTCTACTAGTGTTCAGTGACCTTAAAGATGCTTGGTTAGGAAATGTTTCCTCAGCTCGGAACGTGCTACTTGGTCACCACATGGGGCACTCAGACTCCTAAGGATGAAGCCCCAGAGTTTCAGCTATACTTTCATCATGCATCCTCGTGAGAGTGCAAAGGGTTTGTTTCTGAAAGTCATTTGGAAACCATCTGGAGAGTTTAGGTGTGGGGTTGGGCTCTTCCTTCCTTCCTCTTCTGTAGATGGACTTGCCAGTAGGATGAGTTCTAGAACAATTAGATTCCTGCCAGCTAACCTTCCTCACCACAAAGTGTGAAGAACAAACACCTGGGGTCTTGGGGGACCTCTTCTCCTTATTTCAGGCCTTCTATAGGAACGTCAACCCTTAGTAGTTGGAGTCACTCGTGTTTTCAGTTCGTTCTTAGAAACTTGGAGAGCTAGTTAACTAAATTAGAAAGTCAAGGTTGTGTAAAACTTTCTCAACCTGAAACCAGCTCTTTCAGATGCTTTTGAACAAGCTTGGAATATGAAAATGCTTTCACAATTAAGCAGTCTAAATGAAGCTGCGGCATTAATTAAGCGTGTTTCAAACGTAAATTGCTCAACATGCAGAATAATGCTTACAGCTAACCACTGTATCCCCTGTCTTAGCCTACTTCGTTACCATTTAATTGTTTCTTTGCTAATCTAAATTTTTTAACACTGTCACATCATCCTGAATTTTCTGAAATTATCCTTATCATGATATATCTGATATTCATCCACAGTTAAAATTCGTTGCTGGGGAAAAAAATGTATCATCCTTATTTTTAACTCAATAGAAAATACACAGAGAAAAGAAAGAAGGTATACATATAAAATCTTTCCAGAGAAATGATTCCTTAGGTTTTGATTAAGTTAATAATGAATTTCAGCATTCCACATGAAAGAAATGCAATGACTTGTCATTGAATAACTGATTTTTATGCTTTTCATATGCCTGTACACTCAGTGATAATCAGTTACCTTGACTGTGTGGTTTCATTACTTAGCTACTGTTTATGAATTTTAATGTATTTTCTTTTCCCTCTTTCTTGGGAAAGGCTGTTTTTTAAAAGGCTGATTGGTAGCAGTGGAAGGTAATATGGAAATGCTACATACCTCTCCTTTCTGTTTTATCCTAAATTTCAGGTCTGCTGATAGCCATAGCATATACTTAATTTCTTCTCCTGTAAAGTTCTTTAGAGTGAGGAGGTCACGACCCTTCAGCTGTACTTTATTTTGTAGTGGTTGTCCACATCTACAAAAAAGAAAAAAATAAGAACGAGAAAGGGAAATTTATATTTAAGAAAAAAAATCATGTCCTACGGTAATTCATTGTTTAATTCTTGAAACAAACCATAGCAATTGGCGTGTAGCCTCATATATCTCTGCAAAGTGCTCATGCCTTGAAATTGGTATGTGGTTTACATTTTAGATATCCAGTATTTGAATGTTGAAAGAAAAAAGAAATTTGAAGAAAGAGGTTAATTTTTCTCTGCTGGAAATAACCACGAGTGGCTTTGTTACTTAGTAGTTGCACAACTTCAGGCAAGTTACCTAACCTCTCTCTGCACCTAAATTTTTCACCTAGAAAATGAATATAATAATCTTACAGGGTTATTCTAAGGGTAAAATGATTTACTACATGGAAATCAGACAACATCTGGCATATAATAAGTATTTGGTAAATTTTAGCTATTATTATTGAAATCATTACATGGTACAAACAGAATTCGTAATGTACATACAATAGAAAATAGTTTCATTCTTTTTCCCCTACTGCCCTTCAAATCTGTTCTTGGAGATTTGTTCTTTTCTTGTCCCTGGTCAGACACAATGGACCCTGTTACTTTTCCAGTAACTTTCAAGGTAAAAAAGGTCCTCTGCTTCCTTTATTCCCTCAAAGAGTCTCAGTGAAAGAATGCATAATTTTTAAAAAAAACTTTTAAGAAAGGTATTGCAAGTTAACACCCTTTTCCTTCCAGCCCTTGCCTAATTCAAACTGGCCTCCTCCACAGAGGGAAGAGGGACCATAAGCTGTCTCCTCTGTTTCTCTGCCTTCAGTTCCTCCAAGTAAAGCCAAGGGAAGGTGAGGAGCTGAGGGCCAGGCAAAGTCTGGCTCTGTTCTAGCAATCTAGCATTGGTGTAGGTGCTTGAGGCTGATTCTCTTCTGAGATGCTTTTGCAGGTCCTTTGGAGAACTCTCTCATCACTGGGAATGTCTCACAGCAGTACTTGATAGTGGACAATTACATTTCCTTTGCCATCCAAGGAAATACATCCACATTTTTCTGCCGAGATCTCCCCAGCTTAGTGCTTCAAAGTCTCTTGGTCATGATGTGAGACCATGCCACACTAAGTATCTTTCTCCATCTATATTGGTCATGGGAAGCCCTGCATGTTCTCTGCCCTGACAAGAGTCAGATCCATCCCAGTACAGACACTTGTTCTGTCTACCGTCAAAACAACTAGCCACCCAGTCCCTCTTACTTCAGATTTTCCAGGTATAGGCCTGACATCACTCTACTGTGTCCCCAAGCTCTCCTCTTGTAGATGTTGGTGTCATTGGAGCCACTTTCCCTGGCTTGAGGTGAGGGAAGAGTACTTCTCCATGTGGGCACATCATCCACAATGGTAACATTTAAAAAATCCTCTTCAGATCTACAACTCATCTCTTGGTTTCTGCAATCCATTTGAGAAGCTGGAGGTAGTCACCAATGAGTTGTGTGAACGAAAAATACTGCAAACCATTTCAGTCAACAAAGGATGCTGAAGCCATCAAGTCACCGGTGGCTGCCACCCCCCAGTGAAGACAAGCCTGCAGCCTGGCCTCTGCAGCCACTCACAGTGGTGCACTCTGAGAAGACTCAGAATAAGAAAGGCCAGGATACTGGCCCTAGATAGCTAGGTGCTTGTCAAAGGGATGAATTCAATGAGCCCACATGTTTGCTTCCTCCCATACATAGAAAAGCACTAAATGCTTCAACTTGAGATGCCTGGTTTTCTTTAGTTAACAAGTAATCTTTTAATGTTCCAACTACCTGGTCTTTGTTGTAAAGCTCCTATATATCCTAGCTCCTCCCCTGCCTCTTAGGAGCAGTCCCTCAGAGCGGTCTGAGAGGCTGTCATCCTGGACTCAAAGGGGTTCGTGTCCTCAGAAATGTCTGCCAAATAAAACATAACTCTAAACTTTTAGGCTGTGCATTTATTTCAGTCAACAGTTGCAAAACTAATTCTTGCATATCTCCTTTGCAAGTCCTGGTGCAGTGGTCTAGCATCTCACTTTGGAATGAGGGAAGAGTCAGCATCTACCGGGCCTGGGCAGAAACTAAGATAGAGTCCCATTTTAACATTCTGTTACATTGTGATGATAGTAATTGCCATTTGGGGTAATCAGTATATAAGATGGACAGCATTTATTCTTTCAGTATTCCCAGTTATCTCTATTTAATGATAATTAGTATCATATACCACGAGAAAACTGGGAATAATCAATTAATTTGACTAGGAACAAAACAACTGTCACAAAATGATCATGTTTGAATTTCAACTTAAGAAAAAAAGTGTGTGCTACTTGAGATGAAGAATAAATTCTCTAGTGGAATTTATGTCTTTTTGCAGTAATGACAAGATGATAGGTAGGCAAATCACAAATTCACTCAATTTGTTGTTCCCACTGCATGTTGTCAAATAACTTAGACAAATGAGTATTTCACTAAGTATCCAACTTTCTGACAGAGTTTATTGGTTCATTTAGTGCTCAGTAGGTGAATAGATTTTTTCCAGTAGACCTTCTTTGACATTAAGCCCTTCAGAGATTCTAGTTATTAAGGAAAGGAGCTTCCATAAAAATAGAGGGTTTGAGGGTTAGTTGGCTAAAGGTCGATTGATTTATTTAATATAAGATTTTAATTACATACTCAACTCCAATAGAAATTAGTGTTTTGAGCTTCTATGTGGATCAAAACTTTGGTCAACAATCCTATTTCAAAGAAGTACCATTGTCTTCAACTTTCAAAAATATGTGATTCATATACTCTCCAAATGGAAATTTCTCTAAAGCTGTTGTCCTCCATTTTTTTTATTACAGATCCCTAACATTAAAAAAAACTTGAAATGGATCCATAATGTATGTTTACTTACTTTTAATATACGTGTTACTATTCTAATAGATTATGCACATAACAAAGCATAAAGAAAAATAAATTAATATTCTAAAGTTTAGACTAAGAAGATCCAAATATTTTAAAAATAAATTTATAAATACACAGAAAAATTTTGCTGGCTAAAGAAGTTTCTAGTCTAGATATTCACTTTCTTCCTTTTACTGGAACCCTAGTAAAAAGCCGACAAAACTGTCCAAGATCTGGATAGTGGTAGTCAGTCATTTGATAACTTTAGAGACATGGCAGTTAGGCAGGACATTTGTTTTTACATATATATTTTGGTTTTATGTTTGGTTCTGATAATATTAATTAGCAATAATATTAAGCAACACTTAGAATGTACAAGGACTGCTTTATTGCAAAGTAAAATCTTTGTCTGATATTCATACATTTTTCAGGGTCAGCTGGTTTCTTCTTCTGGGGATCTGTAAACAGGTTTAACATGTCTGGCCCAGAATGGAGGCGTAGCAGCTTAATCTTTGCCAATTCACATTTAGGGCAGCTTTGAGAATATTTTTTCTTCTGGAATAAGGTCCAAGCAACATTAAATCACAGAAGATAAACTCTCTTGACTCCATGTCGTACAACAACACATTAATATTTCATGGCTTAAGACTTCCTCCAATATTATTTTTAAAGGGGAAGGAAAAAAGCTTTCCTAGAAAACCCCAGTCCCTAGGATTCAAGGAATTTGGGAAACATCACTATAATTGTTGAATTCACATCCATCAACAACAGAGAAAACAACCCACGAGCTAATTTTCAGGTCTTTTTTATTACATGGAGCTCAAACTCAGTCTCCTGGCTATTTTGGAGCCCGCAAAATCTGAGTCTCCAAACTGTGGCACTTCAGGGATTCAGTACCTGCCCCCACTTTCAGCCCCTGCAGGGTTTGGTTGTATCTACTCCCCTCTAAATTCTCATGGCCTACAGCTTTCACTTAAGAGAATACCATAGACTTTAGAATTGTGGTGTTGTTAAATATCAGAGAAAAAATTGGAAATGGAAAGGAAATGAAAATTTTACAGGGAACTGAATTTTTCTCCCTCTTTTCCATGAAAAGAAATAGAAAAATAATGATGAAAGAGAAGGACCAACAGCCCCTTTAGCTACTTCAAAAAAGCTCCAACTTCCAGCTCTTATTACCCAAACAGAAGGCAGATGGGGAGAGGTAAAAGGTCTTTGGGGCTTTCTCAAATTTGTCCTTTCAAACAAGTTTCTAAGTTGGAGGTAGGGTTAGGGTTTGGGTCACAGTTAATGATCTGTTGTTGGGGTCATGTTGAGATGCTCTTTTTATTTCTCCATTGACAGATCTGAGTTTAAAGATAGGAAGAAGACACAAACATCCTGCTTGAATCCTCCCTTCTTGTCCAGACCTTTCATTTTCAAATTTATATAGTGACAGAAACCTTATTTCAAATTCTTTTCCTTAGACCTCAAGTGATCTGCAAGTCCCTCTTTGTGACTCTAGTCTCCACATGGCAGCAGCTGATAATGTTGCCCTCACCCCTGTTGCTGTGGGATGACACCGCCAATAAATCAGTAAATGTTAGCAGGTAAGCTTTTTTTTAAAAAAATACAGACAGTTCTGGCTTTGCACAGCAATGAGGGAGTGTAAAGAACTATTAAATCCGAAACGGTTCAAAGCAACCTTAGCAATCAATGGAGAAAATCACAATTGTTTTGTGACTTAAATTTTTTGGTCAAAACATTAAAAACTCTCTTATTGTCAGTTATAAATGATTAAGGAAGTGAAAAAAATAGTAAAATTGATATATACTTGATACACTGTAATTTAAAACATTAGAAACATTGAGAATTAGTGTTTTATTTCTTTGTGAAATCTATCAGGAGTAGTTTGAAGAGTGTATGTGTCTTCTTATTGTCTAACTTATGATACAGAGCAAGGATCTTTTCTGTGCTGTGGTGAACTGTCATATTCCTTTCTAAGTGGGTCAACTTCCAACATTTTATCCTTTACACTCCCAGTATTGTGAAATCTCTCTGAGAATTCCTTTTATGTGAAATGTTTTGCTGGTGTCACTTCCTCTGGAACATCTTTATACTTTTTGTCACAACCTCTGTCTTCATTT